TCAAAATACTATCAAAATGAGGAGAAAAGTGAGACGAATCCACTGGCATACGGCCGAAAACGAGAAAACCAACAATTCCGAAGTTATCAAGGATCAAACGGACTGCATTTTAATTATTTTAATAATTTTGAGCGATTTGTAAACAATACAATTTCGCTTATTAAAACTGCACATTAAAAGCTTCAAAATATAATATTTTGGGCTCAAACTACTAACAAAATAAAGAGAAAAGTGAGACGAATCCACTGGTATACGGCCGAAAAAGAGAAAACCAACAATACGAAAGTTATCAAGGTCAAATGTATTGCATTTTTAATTAATAATAATAATTTTGAGCGATTTGTGAACAATACAATTTCGCTTGTCTTTCAAAGGCCATAAATCGCTAGAATACTGTTGTTTAGTAATACATTTGACATCTGTTAGTATATTCTTACGCTGAATTGAACGGTGGTATTTTTGTCCTTATTGGGCGCATAAAACCAGAGATAAGGCGCAGCAAAAAGTCAATCGTGAGAGTCCGAGATTAATTCGAAAGAAAACTTTCCTCGGAAAAAGGAATTCGGAATACGTGAAGGATTATTTTGAGCGGCTTGTCTTTCAAAGGCCATAAATCGCAAGAATAGAAATCAATTTTGAAATCAACTTTCCATCCGTAAATACAAGTTTTCACGCTGATTCGAACAGTAGTATTTTTGTCCTTGTTTGACGCATAAAGCCTAGAAAGTAGTCGATCTTGAGAGTACAAGATTAATAACAATTAATAAATTCCGACCACGAGCAAGGAATTTTTAGTAGGCGATTAAGGAAACGTATTGATGCGAACACACTAACAAACGGACAAACAAACGGACAAACTGACAAACGGACAAACTCACAGGCAGAATATAATGCGGTGCCAAACTTGGGCACCGCAATTCATAATCATAACACAAGAAATTCTTCGTTGCTACACAAAAGGAGTAATAGAACATAAGAACAAACTGTATACCAAACATACTCTTGCCAATAAAGACATAGATGTGTGGAATATAATAATCTTCCCACAAAATATAAAGAACCTAGGTCTTATGCTTCCTTCAAATCAATAATTAAAAAGTACTTTTTACAACTATAGGTAATATTTAACAATATAACATGTTTTTGTAAATATAATTGTATATATTCATATGTATTATATAATACTTCTTTTCCTTAATTCTCTGAAAAGCACAGCTTAAATAATAAACCTAAGTGCCTAAAAGAAAAAGCCATGTGGTTTCTATAGTAGGCTGCTAGCCCATTTCTTGTATATATCTATTCCTTGAAAATGTAATTATATAAAATAGGTAATAATGTAATTATATAATATATATATATATATATATATATATATATATATATATATATATATATATATATATATATATATATATATATATATATATATATATATTAAGATGAAAATGTTCTAGAGTGTGTATTATATGATTTCCATACCCAGTGCAAGCAGAAAGATGTTGTCTGCCGCAGCTGGGTCTTGAACCCGCGACTCCTTCGAATTACTAGATCGACGCTCTACCAACTGAGCTACACTTTAGAACATTTTCATCTTAACATATTACAGAGTGTACAATAACACAATTAACATATATATATATATATATATATATATATATATATGACGCATGTGTCGACTGAAATTGACATGCACGCGTTGCTAATTATATCCGCCGGTATTATCTTTTTATTATTTATCAGTGTATGAAAGCACTGTAATCATACTGATCTTGGTAACTAAAACTATATGCACCGATTTCCTCCGAATGTACACATCTATCACAAGAGAATATTAGAAGAAAGTATATTATACAATTTATTAGAGAGTAATGTTTTTCGCGTGAAAAGCGGTTCATATATAATCCCCGTCATCGCTTGAAGTCGGTCAACGCGTAATTTCAAGTTTTTCTTGGCTTTCTTAACAGTATATTTATATCGTAAAATCATTACAATCTTAACTCGTTGAATTCAGGGGGGGGGGGGGTAAAATCCCCCAAAGAAAAGTCAGGAAAGGGGCCCAAATATTTTCGGCCAATATAGACCACAGCTCCTCCAATAGATATATGAATCCCGTACGCCTATGAGTGTACTACTATACATTTATATTGCTCTCATGTGCATAGAGAGACAAGGTACGAAATTAGAATCTATAAACAATCAACTTTAATACATGCATGGTTGGGTATACAAAAACGTTTTGATGTAAAAAACGAATTTCTTTCTTGTTGCTTTGAGCTATATATTAGGCTATATTAAAACCGACGAAACATGTAGTAAGCGCATATATTAAGTGAAAGTGAAACTTATTCCCAAACAAATAAATGAACCAAGACTGCATGTCATAATCTCTCTGAAAGGGCGAAGCAGTAACTAAAGGGTGTATATATAGAGGCATCTAACGGCAAGTGATTTAACGATCGCACGGAGGGGTTATTAGAGACCTTACGATTTTAGGACGGCAACGCGACGACGACGGCCAAAACAAACTCCCTCAAATAAATGGTAGTATTAAAGCCCACTATTTGTTGTATATTAGTTTCTCATTCGGAGCTTCTCCTAAAGTGGATGCGGGCTGGCGGGCCAATACCATTATGCCATTATTTGCTGGATTTCCCCTCCCCATAAAATTTATTTTGGAAAAGTTCGCATTAGGCATTTATATAGCAACTTTCTGAAAAACAGCACAAAATCAGTAAGTGCAACTGAAAGCATGTTTTTATAATTTTGTACCCAGAACGTCTGGCGTTTTTCTCCCCTGCCCCTGGCTTCCCGTAGAACTTTTATAGCTGAGTTTGGATATTTATAAGTGTGTACGTAATGCGGGAAAAACTTGCAGTTTGGTTATGAAATTTTGTATTTTAACTAACATTTGGTTTGGGAACGTTTCTAATTGTCTTTCTTTCAAATTTAATTCACTTTGAAGACATCACAAAATTTATAATAATGGTCAAAAATGGCAATAATAATGGCGAACAAGGCCATTTTCTTAAAAAGCATGCGGGCGGGGATAGGGTAGGTAGGTAGGTAAAACTTTATTTAACTACGCTAACCCCTACAGCGAAGGCTGATTTCCAAGGGGGGCGTAGATTTAAGTAGTTAAAAAATACAATAATTGATACAAATTATGGTCATACATTACATTACAGTTAACAACAATTACAATACATTTACAAATACAACTAGTATATAATTATTTACAAATTAAATTAATGTTAGTACTGTTCAATATTTTTAATTAACGTAATTATTTTATTAATTAATTAATTAATTGGCCAGGTGTCGTATACATGAATTAAACGAAGCAAGAGTGTGTTTGTTTCTTGCTTCATCAGAAAGGCTGTTCCACAATTTCGCTCCTCTATAACTAAGACTTTTTTTAAGATATTCAGTCTTAGGTTTGGGTAAAAAGAGTTTGGTGGAAGAGCCTCGCATATTATAGTAATAAGAGGAAGACGTCCTTTGAAAAATATTGGTTAGTCGTTTTGGCGCCAGTTCGCGAGTTATTTTATACATAAGACTTGCTACGAAATGTGTTCTGCGTTCACTTAAAGGTTTCCATTTCAGTTCGTCTAGAGCAAGTTCAGATTGACCGTGTTCGTTTTTACGGCCAGTAATAACTCTAGCTGCCCTATTTTGTAGCTAGTTTCACGAGTCGATCAGAAAGTGTGGCACCAATGGTGTCCCAAACTTCGCAACAATAATCTAGGTGTGGAAGTATAAGTGCATTATAAGCACAAATTAATGTATTATGATCCACACAAGATTTTAGCTTTCTGATCGCCCCAATTCCGGATGAAATCTTCTTAGCAATTTTATCAATATGCTTATCCCACAATAGAAACTCGTCAATATGAACTCCAAGCGCTTTCGTTTCTTTCCAACTTCGTGCCCGACAGAGCGCCATTAACGGAGCACATTTGGGTTCTATTCGTTAAATAGGATCCTAAAAGGTTTAATGATGGCTTCTGTAGGCCATAAAGATCAAGTTTCGTTAAGAGGATGTCATGATTTATGGTGTCGAACGCCTTTTGTAAGTCCAGAAAAACAGCTATATTAAACAAACCACGGTCCATATTAATAAACCATTCATTTGTACTGTCTAAAAGAGCAGAGGCTGTAGAATGAAACTTCCTGAAACCAAATTGACGAGGGGACAACAACTCCTGTGTAACAAGATACTCATGGAGTTGTTCGTATAATACTTTTTCAAAAAGTTTACTTACTACAGGGAGGATAGAAATGGGGCGATAGTTGTTTAATAAGTTTCGTGGGCCGTTTTTAAATATGGGAGTGACTCTTGCTATTTTCCACTCAAAAGGAACAGTTGCACTTATAATGGCCATATTGAAAATTTTTGTCAATGAGTTTGTAATTACAGGAGCAGCAACGCGAATAATTTTAGCAGGAATTTTGTCAATTCCAGTAGATTTACGAGGATTTAGAGATAACAGAAGTCTGTATACGTTCGACTCAGACACTGTTTGAAAATTAAAGCTACTAGTTGTTGTCGTGATGTAATCCTTGAAATTTCTGTCACCATTGTCGATATTTTTGGCAATATCTGGACCAATATTGGTGAAATAATTATTGAAACACTCCGCTAACTCCGTTGGATGTGAAATTTGTCCTCTCTGTGTTTCAAGACAATTTGTTTCTCTACTTTCTTGTTTACGGTTTAGGATTTTATTCACAGTTTTCCATGCTTGTTTGGGATCATGTTTGACTTTCTTAAATTCTCCTTTATAATAATATGCTGCTTTTGTTTCTCGCAATGCATCAGTTACGCGATTTCTAGAGGTTTTGTATGCGTTCCAGTAATTTTCGGATTTATGTCTAATAGCAAGAGATTTAAGGCGATCGCGTTCGCGGATTTGTTTTTTAATGGTACTAGTCAGCCAAGGAACATTTGGTTTACTTTTAACTCTCTTTTCCCTGATTGGGGCATGCCTATCAAGAACTTTTACGAAAAGTGTTTTCCATGTGTCCCACATCTTATCAACGCAGAGTTTGTTATCTAATAATTCCCATTCCTGACCACGCAGGTCAGCTTGAAAACTCTCAGCATTAAAATATTTTAAATTACGAATTTCAACTTTCTTGTGACTGTTTTGTTTGCGCTGGATATTTATTTTACGAACAACGAAGATCATGTAATGATCACTAATGGCAATCGGTATTACTTGTGATGTTATTAACTTAGTTGGAGTGGGAGTAAGACAAACGTCTATTAGGGAGGATGAGGTCATGGTCACACGGGTGGGTGTGTTTATCGTTTGCGATAATTGATATAATTCCATGATTGAATTTAAATTCTTTGTGGCATTGTTTGAGGTGTCAAGCATGTTAGCATTTAAGTCACCAAGTATGTAAAATTCCTTATTTTCATCATCTATTGTTTTTACTAATTGCTCAATTGTGGCAAAAGTGTCAACAGAAGCACTTGGAGGTCTGTAAATAGTACCGACAATAAATGGTGTAGTGGAAGGTTTGCGAATCTCAACATATATAGCTTCGAGATTATCTCTAGTCAGATCTTTTCGTTCTAAATAGTTAAGGGAAGTTTTTACATATAAACAGACGCCTCCCCCTGTTCTAGAACGATCGACCCTAATAAGATCATAATTACTTATGTACATATCCTGGTTATTAATAGTATCATCCAATCTTGTCTCATTTAGTGCAAGAATATCGAGACATTCATCGGCTAATATGATCCTAATTTCGTCAATATGCTTAGGTAAACTGGTTATGTTAAGCATACCCATTTTGAAACCCTTGAAATCAGGGAAATATGGGTTAAATTGAGCATATCTTACAGCACCTGGCCATGCCTTATTTCAATTACGACTAAAGTGATTACTATAATTTCTAGTAAGAGTGCTACTACCCTTTCTATTTAAATGTAGGCCACCTCTATTTAGGCAAGTATAATCTAAATTAGTGTTGTCTATATAGGTCCATTTGTTTTGGTCAGAGACCCGTTTAAGAATGTCATTTACAGTTTTAATTTTGTTCTGGATATTAGGTTTATCTTTCCTGGTAATAATGCCCGATATACATACGTTAGTGCATGGTAGACTATCCTTTATTTGGGTTCCGAGGTTTAAGATACCCGCAGCAACCACTTCTGCCGTCTTGGAGTTATCTTTAATATTGTTAGTGCCTACATGCAATATTATCTCGTCGGGCTTTTTGCGTAGTAATGGTTTTATGTAATCTTGCATATCTTCAGCTTTACTCCCTGAAAAGGACTTTACATGCAGATACACGTTGTTTATCGTTAGACAAGTCCCAGCCGTGAATATGTTGTAGAATTGAGTCCCCGGCGATGAAAACAAGTTTGCCAGACTTATTATTCTTTGAGCCTGTTTGAAATGAATCGTTTGAATTTGCATTTGTTGTATGCTTTCTATTGTTGATTTTGGCCTTGCCCTTGGAAAATGCAATAGAAGTTTGGGTTGATTGACTTTCTTTTCTCCTTTGTTTTCTATCGTGTTTGTTCGAATCCATGTTAAAAAAACTTGACCTACTTTGTCTAATAGTCGAAGTGCTAGACTCACTCGGGTCAATTTCGTCATTAGATTCTGATTCTTTATCTGAGTCATGTTCTGTGGACAGGAGACCGAATCTATTTGGTGTTATTTTTCACCCTGCTCGGTTTCCTTTGTTCTTATCGGGGAATATATTCAATATTCACCTCTAATCAATTTCCGTTCTAATCAATTTTCTAATATTCACCTGCAATTAATAATCCCCTCTAATTTCACCTGCAATGTCTTTGCAGCACAAGAAATGAGAAAAAAACAACATAACGAAGGCAATATGGCATTAAGAATTGTTTCTATTCTGACTCTGTAACGTGACCTCGCAATGTGAAAAATAAGTACGTAATTTTGAGGCACCTCGGGGATATGTGATTTATTCACCTCGGCGCTGCGCGCCTCGGTGAATAAATCACATATCCCCTCGTTGCCTCAAAATAACCTATACTTATTATGTCCGGTTCTTGAGCATTCATATCAGCTGCAGATCGAGCAGTTTTATTTTGGCATGCATAATTAGCAGAAATATTATGTACATTAGTTCTCGCTCTGTGCCCTGGGGTATGCCATGTATTGTGTGTTGCATCTCTGTTATTTAATGATATAGACTTGCTGTCTTCTTGCAGCAGCTTAAGGGCAGTGACTAGACTCAATTTCTCATCTTCAATGTTTTTGATTTTCGTATTTAGATCCGATACCATATAAGAACGATTGTTAAACCTTTCTTTCAAGGAGTCGTTTTCGCGCCTGAGTTGCGTGTTTTCATGTCTAAGGGTAGCGTTTTCATGTTCTAGGCTTGTTAGACAATATTCAGTTACTTTAGTGCCACCATTCAAACTCAGTTCTTTTAGCTGATCAAGCTGTTCGGCAAGGTTCTCCTTTATTTGTTGAAGCTCTGCTTTCGTTTCGACAATATGTTGGTTTAGTTTTAATTTAATCTCGCTTACCTCAGTAGGGAGTTCGTTACAGACTACCTGAGCGGTTGTTTCACATTCGACAGTTGTTATATCGCCACCGTCGTCCTCCGTGTCATTTTGAGCTAAGGCGATGCTGTTGTGTTCTTTCACACCTTCTTCCTTCAGATTTGAAATTACTCGTTCAGTCAGGTCTTTGCCCTTTTCTCCTTCAAAGGATATATTCATACTTTTGGTTTGCCATGTAACAGCCAGTAACTCACTTTCAAATTTCCAAGTTCCGCCGCTAGGAGATCGCCAGTTTGTGTTTTCTGCTGTATCTTCGTCAATCTCCGTTAACACAAATGCTTTCAAGTCTTCTAGCGCTCCTAACCATTTCAGTTTGTCTTCGCTAAGCAAAAGTTACGGTACAAAATATTCTTAACAGATGTCATTATTGGAGCGAAAAAGCACACGTCCGTACATGCACGTCCGTACACGCAACACGTCCGTACATCGTGACACTATTTTCACGACCTTTACGGCCATATGGAAACCAGGCTTAATGCACTCACGGTGACTCAAAATTTTGAGCGAAATTACTAACATTATGATCAAATTTATTAAATACTTTGACTAAAGTTTCAAATTTACATTACTAAAAAAATGAGTATATTTGCTCATAAATTTTACTCAATATTTGAGTCACTGTGGGACCGTTTACTCAAATTTTTCAGTCAAACGTTTCACTTGTATTTTTCAGTGAGTTGAATCCATCTCAATTTTCTGGTGTTATCGGTTCTACCTTAGCCTGCGGGCAGCCCCATACCATTACGTGGTATGGGGCTGCCCGCAGGCTAGTTCTACCTACGCTGGCACAGATCGTTCGAACTGGGTTTTTTTTTACTTTGGTACTTTTTGGACTTGATCCATGCACTAATCAGATATCGAGCGAATGAAATGTTAATAACTGTGGAAATAATGATTGACGATATACATGCTACTTATTGCGGATATGGCTCTCTCTGTATATAGACAAGAGTTGGACATGGAATTATAGTGTTGAGAATTGTGGTTATACTAATTTAATGAAGTTGATTTCTATACAGTCATGTTTATAAGTTAGTGATTATGCGACAACCTGTCATTTGGGGGTAGTTTTTGTGAGTGATTTTGCGATTTATAAAGGCCGATTTACACTACACAATCTTTGCCTAAAACTGTCACATGCAACCTGCTTACAACTCGAATTGTATTGTGTAAATCACAACTCACCTACCTTGTCTTAATGTGATTTTTTGAAGAAAACTAAAACTTCAACCTCTAACGTCATTCCCGACAACGGTATTCTAGGTTTTCTGCCAACGAAATATAGATTGACAAAACGCTGTACCATTGATATATCAATGCGCTGTACTTACTGTGGATTGACTAAACGCTGTACCATTGATAGATCAATGCGCTGTACTTACTGTGGATATGAATCTCTGTAGACAAGAGTTGGAGCAAAAAGAAAGTAGAGAAACTGACTAAATCCAGGAATGTTGTTGTTATTTGAGATTGAATCATCGTCATATCCTTCATCATCTGTTTTTTCATCATCACTGTTCTTTTTATCAACACCTAAACATGGAATAACAACTCTTGCTGTTGCGTCTCTCATTGTGTCTCAGTTTAATGTTTGACCACTCTGAGCATTGACAGGTTTTACAACCCACTTGACAAAGGTCTCAGAGGGTTGGTTATTTTACGATATATGCGTATATGATGAATATCTCAAACTATTACAACTACTTCCCCAATATGAAAATAGCACCCCTCACTGCGGCTGCCCCTCTTCCCCTTCGCCAACAGGAGCCATCCCTGCCCGTCATGAGTTCCCCATGCCACTCAGGTTCATGCAACGGAAGATGAACGTACCTTTGTTGTGCTTATCTGCAGCTATAACACGTGGGGCAACTTCTCTGACAAACGAATGTATTTTCATGTAAAAACGGATCTTGAATAGGGAAAAAAACAAATTCTTACTAGAAGAATGCAGGTGTCGCAATGACTGTGACATTCACAAATTGTGTCTTATAAAATGTGTCCTGCATGAGAACAATATTCACAGCTGATTCACATTTAGTGTTTTATGTAGGGGTGCACCGGATTTGCAATTTTCAAATCCGGCCGGAACCGGATTTACCGGATTTGGACAAAAATTCCGGCCGGATTTGAGATAAACCGGTAATGGGGACAATTGGGGATAAATCAGTATTCAAAATGACGGTTTATGTTTTTTACTATTTTTAGTTAGTGTCAGTTTAGATTTTTGATTGTGTTTCAACCTTTTTTTAAACATCTTTTTGTTAATAACTTAATATTTTATAATAATATAAGTGTTTTTTTTTTAACTTTAAAGCTGCCAAATTGATGGTTTATCCCATTCTTGGTGATTTTTTTAAGGTGAAAACAGAAATTTAAATCCGGCCGGATTTTCTCCAAATCCGGCCGGAAGCTGGATGCCGGAAAATTCGTTAAATCCGGCCGGAATTCCGGCCGGATTTGAAATCTGGTGCACCCCTAGTTTTATGTTCGTTGTGATCATTGTAACGTTATACGTTAACGTTTCTTGGTAGATGTATGGCTTGGTGAGTGGTGCGATGTTCTATTCATCATTGCATCAGGGCGTCTATAAGAATGGGCGGTGAAACGCCAGTGAAAGCTTTGAAACATGTGTGATGCGCGGACCCGCCACGTTGTTCGAAAGCGTTTTCATTACATTTTCGTGTTTCAAGATGGCGGGCTGCTTGAGCGAGGAAGAACTGGAAATTGCCATCAGTTTAAATGGCAGTTTTGCAGCGGTTTTCTCGTCATGTCCGCGTACTATATTAAAGCGCAATTTCAAGTTTGCCACGAAGTATGAATTAGTGAATTTTGCATTTCAGCATTAGCTGTGGTAAAATACGTTTTTACTCTAAAGATATATACTTTTTGTTATATTAATAGTATATTTGGACAATTCTAAGTAATTAAATGATATGGTTTGTTTACTTTATGGTTTGTTTGGTTTCGTATTCGTGTTTTTCTTTGTACATTTGTCAAATTTGTGTATTCAGATCAGTTTTGCGTATTGTTTTGTATATTCATAAGTTTATTTTTCCCGCCTTTCGTTTTTTGTTCACTCGTCCCATTCCCCTGAGCACTTTTAAATGCTGTAAAGACCATTTTAGTTTTTGGGTTGTGGACTTCGAGCGAAAATTGTGAAAAAGGGTCAAAAAGTTGTGTTACCATACTCAGGTCAAATGGATCCTATCAGTTAGGGCAGTCATTGTGCAATTTTTCCAGCTTCTTGGGCCACAGCAACCATCTCAATTTTTTATGGAAAAATTTCATGTTGAAAATTTCGAAGCCGCCATAGCGACGCGGTCAAGTGTTGCTGCCACGTAAGATAACATTTTCTTGTATTATTACTCGCATAATGTCTAAATATATGCACATCACGGAAAACATATATCTTGTCTTTCAGATAGGCACATAAAGTGAACAAAAAATATGATTTCAAGGTTTTTACATAGGTATTTTTGCGAAAGCAGCTGTGTTGTAAAAAAAATTGAATAGGTTAAATTCTATAAACGATTGCAAAAAAGGGTAAAAAAACTACACGATGAAATCTTGCATAATAAATTTTAACATAATGTACATCACAACTCTAAAGTTTGATACCATTTGGCCGTTTCCTCGTTGAAAAAAATCCAAATATTTGCCGTCTACGTAAGAATCGACGAAGTTGACACGCAAGTTTATAGTTTTGAAGTTGAAATATTTCGGTGATTAACGTTACAGAGACATTTTTTCGGCACTGCAGCGGTAGCTAACGATCTGTGTAGCACAAGAAAAAGGTATCTCGGACATCGCGTCAAAAACTGCCAAGTTACAATCGTTTTAATGAAGCCTGTTGAAAATTTTTTGTTTTCTTCGAGAACTCCTTGTTGTGCACGCTGGGCCCCAGGCCTAAAGTGCATCACACATGTTTCAGCTGCTTCACTGGCGTTTCACCGCCCATTCTTATAGACGCCCTGATTGCATTTAGCCCATTTAGCATATCATTACACAAATAACGGTTGTTCTTTCTATTATATTAGAGAGATTTGGCTTCCACTACCGCTACCGTTAATGGACTGTTGAGGAGCTTTAGCAGTGACTACGAGTACAAGTACGACTACGACATTCGTCATTTTCGCGCCAAACTTTGTGTTGTTTGCTTATGCCATCTCGTACTCAAAAGCCCGGCGACTACGAGTTTTGCATGATGGCACAGATGATGGCGTAAGCAAACAACACGCGAGAATACTCGTAGTCACTGCTAAAGCTCCCTAATAACCAATCAGATGCGTTTCATATATTCGATTAACCAATCAAATGCGTACTAAGCCAGCGTATTTACCAGCTACAATAACAGTAGGTTGGTTTAAACATACCTGCTCCATAGTAATAATGACCCTAGACACAGGAGGTAGTTTATTACTCAATATGTCATTGAGAGGAAATATAAACAAGATGGCCAGATATACAAAAAAAACTCCCAACCAAATAAGATCAACAACTTTCGGCGCAGTAACACGGGTGGAAACCCAGGCGATAAATAATGGATACGCCAGAAGTACTTGTAACTGCATTAGTATCCACGTGACCACTACCACAGACGTATTTCCAAATGCCCAGGTCAAAATTGAGAAATCTACCACCAACCTAGAGTTAACAAGATAATTGAATGTGCTTCTAGAGACCCTGGTCTTTATTTAACCGGCTGTCCAATCAATTACTCGTTTCAGAAGGTCTGGAACTGCACCCAGGCTAATCCTTTGGCTTTGGGTCATCGCGAAGCCATAAGAACAGGTTTTGTGATTGGTTGATTATAACAATGAACATAATGAAAGTATAGAACAAATTTTCTGAAGAACGACCCACAAACACTAATCACTTTACTGTTTTCCTTAGGCTTAGTGTTGGAATTGCACTGAAAACGGCGATAAATTTCGGAGATCGCCAATTTGATTACGGGTGTAACCGGAACACGTTTAGAACGAGTTCGGGTCAGATTGCAAGCAAATTAGAATGCAACTTCGAACGTGTTTCAAACGAAATGGAATGCAAATGGAACGCAAT